ACGGTTGTCCCTACGCACATGAATGTGCTACACGACAACCGTTTTCCCCGACGGGTACCCAAAAGAGCTACGACGGACGAAACCCTTCTTTTGGATGGTTTGAAGCGCATTCGCGCCGGGTCCGTCGCAATCGCCAGTACTAGGCAAGCCGGCGCCGGGGGACGCTTTTAGCTGCCGCCCGGCGCTCCCCTCACCCACTCTGCGCCGGCTTAGCCCGCTCACACCGCAAGATTCAGTAACTCGTCGGCGGCGTCGTTAACCGCAAAGTCCAGGTCGGCGGCGGCCCGGGAGAGCACGTTGAGGATCGACTCGACGGGTGTGTGCACCCGCTCCCAGCCGGAACTTTCCGCCGTGTGAAGGTCTCCTCTCGACACTGCGTCGGAGACGTTGGCTTTGGACGGCACCCGACGGAAGTCGGGAAGCCATTCCGACAGAGCCGCCGTGGACCAAAAGGCCGCCAAGACGCCGTTGACGGCGGGGTCCTTCCCGTACTTGGTGAGTGCCCATTGGCCGGCGACGTTGTCGATGAAGGCCAGCCACCTCTGGGGCAACCGACGGGACAATGTGACCAGCGCCAGAACTTGGGCGACGATCTCGAGGACATAGATAAATGCCCGACGGGAGGCGAAAATGTCCAGGAACTTGGCCGGCACCACGCCGCAGTCGTAGAAGACGTGGGCGCCGATGCGGACGACGAAGCCCCAGCCGTTCCGGCCTCGGGTCCCCGGCCGGACTCCGACCTCTGCCGGTATGTGCCCGGCTTTGTGTTTCACCTCGCCGGGCTGGTAGAAGGCGTCGGCGTAGATGATCGCCGCCGGGGCCCCATCGTCTATGATGGGTACCCTCCTCGGCCGGATGTCTGCCAGCAGGGCCCGGAGAGACGTGAGGGCTGCCCGGAGGCCCGCCGACAGCGACGTGGCCGACGTGGCCGCCGAGTCGTGTGCCCTTGAATAGACGGGCTGGAGGGCTGCCTTCCCCAGGGCGCCGAAGGTCGAGTGGGTGATGAAGTTGAGCTTGCCGGCCAGACGGTTCGCCACGTCCGGCGTGAGCTCGTCGTTGGCCAGTGCGGCGTCGATCGTCGTCAGGACCTTCTTGACGCGTCGTTCGGTCGGCTGCAGGACCACTGCGTCGGCCTCGACGGATACGAGGACACCCTGGACTGTCTGTTGAGTCGCCGGGGCCTGGGCCTTGGACGGCTTCGTCTGCAACCCGACGAGCTCGAAGAAGTCGGCCATCGCCCGGAAGGCCGAGTTCGCCGACTCGTCCATGTCGACGCCGTTGAAATCGTCGACGAAATGGCCGGCCAGGATCCAGAGGAGCACCCGCTGTATGGCCTGGAGGGCGTCGGCTGTCCTGTTAAAGTGCCATACCGACGCGGCGGCGCCGAAGCACATCGCCATATGAAACCAGAGGGATACGCCGGCTGGGCCCGCGATGAAGGTGCCGGAGTGCGCCGGGTGCTTGACCGGCCACTGGCGGTAGGCGTTGAGGAGGTCGTGCCCGAATATCCTCGCCAGCGTCGCCGGCCCCCCCGCCTGGTCGACCACTCGCCGGACCATATCCACGAAGTCGTCGACGAAATGGTGCGTCGGGACGTCGTGGGCCCTGACGGTGGAGTTGTGTCCAGACCTGCGCCAGTCTTCGGCGCGACGGACCTTTGCTCCTCCCTGTTCGTCTTCTTGCACGACGGGGAAGGAGGCTGCGGCAAAGGCCTGGCCCGGTGGCGGCGGGACCAGACGGTCGGCCCCCGGCCTGTCAAGGAGTGCCGTCGTCTTGAAGTTCCAACCGTCGGGGGCCCGGGTTGGGCCGACCACCCGGCCGAGACGGACTTCCTCCACGAGCTCGGCGAGGAGGGTGTCGGTGTGCTCTCCGACGGTGGCTGTGGAAGCCCGCCGCTTAATGTACTCCCAGTTCGCCGACGCGAAGTTCTCGATCGACGCCGGGTTGGAGTACTTCTCGTCGGTTCTGGTCCTCCACCCCGGGCCTCTGCGGAGTTCTCCCAACATGTCGAAGCCGTCGGTCAGGTCCTCCTGCATGCCGGGGACGTCGGGGTAGCCGACGATGCGGAGCAACTCCAGGATGACGGGGATCTGCGTCGGTCTCGCCTTGCCCGGTGTTGAGTACCCTGACCGACGGCGACCGCTGCTCCAGCCAGCGCTGCGTGTGGTCCTCCATGTCGTCGACGAGGTAGGAGATGTCCTGTAGCACCTCCCGCCGGATCCTCGCCAGGTCGGAGCGCAGCACCCGCTCCAAGGCCGGCTCCAGATCGGGCCGCCGGGTCACCGTGCAATGCCGCAGGAACGCCGACAGCTGCCAATGGTCCGGGTCGTCGTCGGGGAGGTCGATGTCCGGTCGGTGTCGCGGCGGTGGCTCCATCGGCACCGGTCCTTCCGCTGCCCACTGGAGGGTTGACCGACGGGGCTCAGGTACCGGTGCTGCCGTAGACGAGGAGGCGACGGAGAAGGCCACGATGATCGCCAGCAAGCGGCGGGCTACCCCCCAGTGCCATCCGTTGGCGATGACGCGGTGGCGGGCGGTGTCGTCGACGAAGTCCGCCTGTGTGTAACCCGACGGAATGTGATGAAGGCGCTCCTTGACGGCTGTCGGGATGTTGTGGAGGCGGCCCGCGTCGTCATGCATCATGGCCTCCTCGACATAGTGCCAAGGGGCGAACCGTCGGCCGTCCGCCGCCCAGCGGGCCTTCGCCGGTTCGGGGAGTTTCTGCGGACTGGTGGAACGAGAGGCCGGCCTCGGTGAGCTCGTCCGCCGGTTATCTCGGGGCCTCGAGCCGGAGTCGGCGGTACGAGCCTTGCTTCGACCAATGAAGCGGTCGGCCCGACGCCGGATCCACCAGGGCGCCGGTCAGGTCCGCCGACATCCACCATAGTCGGGGCCTGGAAATCCAGCCGAAATCCGACCCGCAGACCAGGACCGGCTGCACGCCGAGGGCGTCGCTGATCTTGGCGGCGTCGGCGGGCTCCATCACGACGTTCTCGAAGAGGAACGCCACCCGCCGGTCGGAGAGGTCGGCGAGGATCTGGTTGAACATGTCGACGGTGAGGAGGAAAAGGCTCCCCCTCTCGCCCGCGTGGCCGGTCGCCGGGCCGATCCTCGAAAAGTCTTGGCACGGCGGGGCGGCGGTGACAACCACGGTGCACTCACCCGTCGGGTCGGCCTTCCTGATCGCCGCCGCGACGGAGCCGGGCGACTCCGATGTGACGTCGCCTCTGTGGACCAGCCACGGCAGCCTCGCCGACGCCAGCCGTCGGCAAGTGGCGTCAATCTCCCACGCCAGCGCCAGGGTAGGCTGGCCGAAAAGATTTTCCACCAGCGCCGGGGCCGCACCGATCCCGTCAAAGAACGAAAGTAGGATGATTTTGGGCGCACGCCGGGTGCGCTTGAGTGCCGGTCGGACGACGGTACTAGCACAGTGGCTCCCGGGTACCTCGCCGTGGTTGTCCGTCCCTAGCGGCGGCGCTTGGGGTCCTCCCGACTTCTTTCGTCGCGACGGTCCTTCCCATGGCGACGATCGTCCTGGTCCCACTGGTCCTGACGGCCGCGGCCCCAGGACTGGCGCCAGCCCTGGTCGCGACCCTCGTCGCGGCCGGTCTGCTTCCAGCGGTTCTGGGGCTGGCGCCGGTCGTCGTAGTGATCGCGACCCCAGTCCTTGTTGGCGCCGTCGTCCTCCCAGTCCTGCTCCTGGCGGCGCTGCTTCTCGGGGCGGCGATGGGGCTGGCGGCCTCGGCCCTTCCCCTTGCCTTGGGGGTGTCGGCTGTGTGGTCGTCCTCCATCGGGTGGCTTGGTTGGCCGCCCGTCGGTGCCCCCGTCGGTCTTTTAGGCGGGCCGGGCTTGGCGGCGGACTGGAGTGCCTCGTCTGGTCCGCCATGATCGCCGAGGTCACCTCCTCGAAGGTCCGGGCGAGGCGCATGGACATGGCGAGCTGGTGCGCCGTGGCGTCCCAGTAGGCGACGACGGCCTCGAGCTTGCTCAAGCCTGAGGGGATTGACGACGCCGAGGGAGGACCAAGTCCGGGCCGCCAGGATCTCGCCGAGGCCGAGCGGCGTGTAGAGCTTGGACTTGGTGTGCTCCCAGTGGATCCTGGCGAGCACCTCCTCGGCTCCGACGAGGCGCTCCGCCGGGAACGAGCGGGGCTCACCTCCGAGCTGGACGGCGTTGTAGCGGGCGACGAGGTCGGTCCACTCCGGGAAGGTCCGCGGCGGCTTCTCGCCGACCATCGTCGGCAGGGTGGCCGGCGGCGGTGCAGCCGTCGACGGTGTTGGCGTAGGGGTGGAGAACTCGTTCCACTGCCGCCGGGCCTCCGACCACATGTGGCGGATGATCGCCCGGACGACGGGCTGCTCCGCCGGCGTCGCTTTGTATGTCTTCCCGGCGATCTCGTCGCCGTCGCGGAACGGCTGGAAGACCCTCGCGTCCACATCGGACCACTCGTCAGCGACGAGGGCGAGGGTCGCCGTGCGGTTGAGAGACCGCGCCTTCAGGTACTCGACGAGGTCCGGACCCGCCCCCGCCGACGTGGCGAGGTCGTCGAAGTCGGTCAGGACGTCGGCGACGAGCTGCGGACCCATAGCCATGATCACGACGAGAGGGCCGGCGGGGATGAAGGGCGGTGCGGTCAAAGGCGGGCTGCGGCACGACAACAAGATGCCCTATGCGCAGCGACGGGCTCACCAAGTGCACGGCCCCTCTCCCTTTTATCAGGACGACGAAGAATCGTCGGAATCTGAGCTAGATGCCACCGGGGAGGCTGCCTCCTCCGTCGGCGACCCGACACCGTCAGCCGACGGGGCCTTCGGAAAGCACCTAAGGCACTTGGCGGTGATCCTATAAAAACTCCGGACGCCGTATGGCCAGGAACAACCCCGCGCTTTCCACAGAAAGCGGTCCGACGAGGCCTCCGTCGGATCAGGGGCGTGAGCCCGTTTTTGCCGCTCATTGTAAATGAGGTGCTCCGGCGGCGCGACGGCGACCTGCTTCACCGTCTCCGGTCTGACGGGGCCGGGCTCAAACGCGACCGTCGGGGAGTGGTCCTCGCGCGGCGGCGTTTCCTCCTGCGCCGGCTCTCCATCCTCCAGGGCCAGCGGCGGCTGATGGCCGAGAGCCGGTGGAGCCGTGGCCTCCGAGGCCGCCTGGACGTACCGCTCGACGGCGGCCGAGGACCAGCGGCCCAGCAACTGGATGATGGGCGTGTTGACGCCCTTGGACGCCAGCCACGCTGCGCCGGCCACCCGTGCCAGATGGCCGTTGAAGAGCTGGACGGTGGCGCCGTTGTGGTCCGTGGTGGTCAGCTGGATCCCCGCCGCCAGCAAGACCCGCCGGAAGAAGAGGACGGCCTCTGACTTCTCCCAGGTGTCACCGGTCCCGTCGGGGAACAGGGGTGCCCCACGCACCCACCGTCCGGCACGCCGAAGGCGGGAGACATGGCGGAGCGCCGCGTGGTAGGGGCACAACGGCGCCACGGTTGCCCCGCAGGCGCACCGTAGCTGGCGTTGGGTCAGCTCGACCTCGCCGCCGGTCGCGGTCTTGTGCAGGGGAAGCCGGAGGGCGACGGTGCCGTCGGCGACGTCAATGTCCTGCGTCCGCGCCGCTGAGAACTCGATCGCTCGCGGAGCATAAACCAAACCGCCAGGATGAGGGCATCGACGGCGTGTGCCGTGACCCACGGGCTCCACGCGTCGGATCCCGGCGGGTCCACCCTGGAGACCAGGGCCACCAGGCGGTCGACGGCGAATATGGCCTTAAGCTTCGAGCCGGGCAAGCCACGGACCACTGCCCGTGCATAGCGTCGCATGGCCCGCCGGATGAGGGGGTCGACGGCCTCGCCGCGAAACTGTATTCCTGGTATGACACGGCGGCGTCGAAATAGTTCTGGACGGAGCGGTAACCGCCTCGACGGAAGGTGGCGGCAACTTTCCGCACCGCCTCCGCCGAAATGGGCCAGGGAGCGACGGCCCAAGTCTCGCACGCTTCCTGCCACGTGCGGACTCTCGACTGGAAGGGTGCCTGGGACGACTTCGCCAGGATGTTTTCGTCGATTTCCGCCAGCGCCGCCTCCCTGTTCTCCGGGAGGGCTGCTTCAAAGGCGGTGCGTTTGCACGCTCGACGGGTGTCCCTCCTGAGCGGAATGTCCTTCCTGGCCGGTCAGGGACCGTCGCCGGGGGCGGGATTGGTCCGCGAACCGTCGCCGCGACCACTACTGGACCGTCGGTCGGTACTACAGCCGTCGCGGAGGGCCCTATCGCGGGCCCCGCCGGCACGATCTGAGTTGACGGGGCCGGTCCTGAGCCACGGCGCCCAGGGCTCCCTCGCCAGCAGCGCCAAGGTGCCTCCGCCCGCCTCTGCCGCCGCTGCTGCCTCCGCCGCCCCTGCCAGGCCTTCCGCCGCCGTGGCGAAGCCTTCGGAGGCTTCTGCTTCCGCCACTTGCTGGGCGGCGAACTGTTCGATGTCTTGAGCGGCCGCGCGCTCCACCTCCGCTGCCCTCTGCCCCGCTCTCTCGAGGAGGGGCTCCACTTCACTGGGTCTTCCGATGATTTGAGGGGGAGGCACCTCGTCTGGCGGCGGTCCCAGGCCTGGCGGGCGCCGCGGGATGCGCAGGGTTCGGTCCAGCCAGTCGCCTCCGCGGTTGAGGATGTTGAAGGTTTGGTTCTCGCCCACGCTGCGCGCCGCGGCCGCGGCTCCGGCAGCTCCGCCGGCGATGATCGTCTCTGCCGCCTGGATGCCCGACTCCCTCAAGCGACCTCCGAGCGTCGGGGGCCTCGGCGGGTTCAGCCCGTCGTTGCGCAGGGCCTGACCTGGGTCCATGCCCCCGTCGTCGCTGTCGGGAAGGAAGGAGGGTCGGGTGAACTCTCTGGGCGGGCGGGGGAAGGGGACGCCGTCGTAGCCCTCGTCGGCCGTCTCGAAGGCGGCCGCGGGATTGACCGTGGTGTGGGGCAGCGGGGCGTCGCTGATGGTCTCGGGGGCATTGGGGTAATCGTCGAGGTAGAAGTGACTCGAGGTGTAGATGCTCGCCTTGCGGTTGGGCAGGTCCAGGGTCAGGGGCTCGCCCTCCTGGATGTAGCCCAAGGTGCCGGGCTGATGCCTGCCGTACGAGCCCTGTCGCAAGGCATTGACATGCTGCGTGCAAAGTGACAAAAGTAGCCCAAGACCTGACCGAAGGAGGGCTTGACGCGGAAGCCGTTGCTCCTGCGCTCCTCCATCTTTTTACTAGAAGCTGATGTGCAGGGGCCGGTGGCTGTAGGAGCTGGAGGCGCGGGCTCGCTGCACGCTCTCCGAGTTCGCCACGGGGTCCCACTTCAGCGAGAGCTCCCCGCTGGCGCCGCTGGTGAACTTGTAGAATATTGGAAGGTGGTGTCGCGCGGCTCGCCCCACTCTTCTCGCAGGGCACGCTTTTGCTCCTCCGAGAGCTCGTCGTCGAAGGCCACGGAGACGTGGAGCGGATGGTGCTGACTCAGACCTAGGCTCAGCCTCGCGGCGCTTGAGAGGGGACTCGCCCTCGAGGCCGATGGCCCAGAGGCTCGGGGCGCCTTCGCGGTGCGGCGGCAGCGTCAGCTGGGCCTTCCGCGTGAGCCCGTCGCGCAGGAGCTCCCGCTGCACCCTGTAATACTCCGCGTCGTCGGGGCGCTCCCGGTACCAGTCGCGCTTCTCCTGCTCCGACCAGTCGCTCTCCGTGGACCGTCGCCCCTCTGGCTGGCTAGCCGAGGCGGTGGGAGGGTCCCCCTGACCTCCAACCGGCGAGTGCCTCGAGGACTGTGGCCGGGACGCCAGCTGTGACCAACGCCGAGGCCCGTGCAAGGGCGGAGTCGACGTCCACGGCGCCCGCCGTCGGCAACAGGGGCAAATGGTGGATGCCCCCAGCTCGACGAATGCCCTCACTAGCCGGCCGAAGTCCGCCGTCTGTCCACGGCGGGGCCGCATGGGGCCAAAGGGTGCCTAGGCGTGCGCCGGCCTGGGCGCCTCGAGCCAACCGAACCTCCTAGAGAAAAAGGTAAAAGAAAAACAGGTGCACGACGAACGACGGGCAAGCATGAGAAACTGCACTGCGACGGCCTCCCTCCTTTCTCGCGCCGGTGGCGCCTGCTTGGCTCTGAGTCGGGCCCTGGGCGATTACAACGCCGGGCAGAAAAGGCATTAAATTAAGGCGTCGGGAGAGGCCCGCGAAGGCTTCACCGACGCACCCCCTGAAGCTTCAATTCCCACGTCGCCAGCGACAAGGCCGTCGGTGAAGTCGACCCTGTAGAAGACGGCGACGGTGAGATAGCGACGGGGGCCCTGCTCGTGGCAGTCCTCGCACTCATGGTGGTCGTGGCGATCCAAGTCGACGGTGCCGCCGGCCCGAATCAAAACCGGACGGAGGCATCTGCCGGGAATGCCGCGGCAGCGACCGTTGGTGCACGGGTGCCCACACCACCCAACACACCAAATCTCGCCGGGGATCTTCTCCGGAATGCGGCCTCCCCGGACGCCGGGCGGCAGCGCTCGCAGAACATAGTAAGCCGCTGCGGCGGCCGCCGGTACCATGGCTGTGGCCGGAGCCGTCGGCGGCGGCCCTCTCGATGTCCTCAGGTTGGCGACGGTGAGGGGCCGGAGCGGCTCCGGCAGCGGCACGTCGGACCGCACGCCGGACTTGCCCATCAGCTCGACGTGGTCGCGCCACTCCTGCGAGCAAAGCATCCGGCGGAAGTGAGCCAGACGCCGGTACTCGCGCCTGTGGCGCTCGAGCTCGGCGGGAGAGGCGTTCTGCCCCGGCCGCCGGGGAAGGATTGGGAAGCCGGCGCCAGTAATCGGATCCGCGTCGGGATACATCTCTCGCGGCGTCGGTGTGGGTGCCCTGCGAGATGCTCCCGACTGAGCCGGCGGCGACGGTGCCGGCGCTGCTGGCATCGCCTTGACCTGGGGCTCGACGGTGCGCTGCTGCCGCGACTCGTCCGCAAACTGCCGGCGAAGCTCCTCGGCGATGCGGTCCTGGTAGTCGACGGGCGCCGGCACCGAAGTCCTTGATGGGGCCGGCGGTGCTGCCGGCGCGACCGTCGGGATCACCGTCGACGGGGTGATGCGGTCCGGCAGCACCGTCGAATATCGCCGGTAGTACTCCTCTGCCGTCGGGAGGTGGTGCTTGTAGGCCAGCTCCGCGTCGGTGCGACAGAGGAACCCCAGCCCAGCTGGTCCCACATCTGCGGCGGACCGCCTTTTGGAACCGACGGCGCCGGGCGGGTGGGCTTCTGCGGATAGGCTTACCAGCCGGCGGAAGCTCTGCCGGGGACGACGGTGCCCCGGAACCTCCTGCGTGCGCCGAGGGAGGCGCTTGCTGCCTGTCGACAGGAGGTTCCGGGCACGGGTCGTCCGACGGCGCCGACTGCGCCGCTGCTGCTGCTCCACCAACACTCGCCGGAGAGACCCTCAATGAATCGCCATACACGACGGGGCCTGGGGCCGCGCCGGGGCTATTGATCGCCGCGGCCAAGGCGCGACGTTCCAGCCCACTCCATTCGGAGAAGAGCTGGGTCAAGTCGTCGTCGGCGGCGACGGCCCGGCGGATCATGTCCAACGCCGCAACCACGTCGGCGGACTGATAGGCCATGGCGACGAGAGGGTCTACCGGAGAGCTGAAAATTCGTCGGGGGACGTGGAGCCAGCAGCAGCTGCGGCATCCACGTCGATTCGACGGTTGTCCCTACGCACATGAATGTGCTACACTACAACTGCCGGTACATCACCTAATACTAAACCCTAACCCTAAACCCTAAAACTGCCGGTACGGCGCCTAAACCCTAAAACTGCCGGTACGGCGCCTAAACCCTAAAACTGCCGGTACGGCGCCTAAACCCTAAACTGCCGGTACGGCGCCTAAACCCTAACCCTAAACCATAAAACTGTCGGTACGGCGCCTAAACCCTAAACTGCCGGTACGGCGCCTAAACCCTAATCCTAAACCCTAAAACTGCCGGTACGGCGCCTAAACCCTAAACTGCCGGTACGGCGCCTAAACCCTAATCCTAAACCCTAAAACTGCCGGTACGGCGCCTAAACCCTAAACTGCCGGTACGGCGCCCAAACCCTAACCCTAAACCCTAAAACTGCCGGTACGGTGCCTAAACCCTATAGGGTTTAAGGTTAGGGTTTAGGATTAGGGTCAACCTAAACCCGAAACCCTAAACCTTAACCCTA